TCTTGTTGAGATTGTAGGTATCAATATATAGTTATATAGAGTCCTTTGTAATTATTTGCAAATTATTGTTGTGTAACTTCAAATTGAAATGAGATATTCAGTTCGGTCCATATTTCTGTGGTCTTTCTTTTGTAAATTAATTACGTGATTAATTAATATTCCCCTGAAGGGAATATTTGCATTTTCAGGTAATATAAAATTGAGTGGTCAATTAAAATTGATAGAAATAAACTTCAAAATGATCATTTTAGTTAGAGAACTGGGCTAAAAACAGGAAGACATTCAGTAGAAACCAATGCACATTTCTTCACTGAGAAAAAACAACAACAACTGGAAGTTTAAAATATGGGATATTTATCTGGCAATATTATATGTGAAAAAGCCTTTAAAAAGCATTTAATCTAAATATGAGCCAGCAATGTGATGTGAATATTTGAGAGCATCAATTGAAGTATCATTTCCAAATCATGCAAACCAATCATGTTGTTTTTTTCTGTATTGGTCAAATCCCACTTGAAGAATCAGTGTACAATTCTTCATATTGATTAAAAAAGAAAGAAAAGTGGAACAGATTCAAAAAAGAGAAACATGGATGATCAGATAGAAACTAATTGTTAGGAGGAGAAACCGAGGGTGTTAACACAGAAAATCCAGAGTCTGATTTGATCCTCCTGGAATGCAAAACATGGAATGATTATTTTAGGAAAGTAGATTCCAATTAAATGTTAGGGAAATCTACCTAAAGAAAAGGAGTTGGATGATGGGACCTGTCATCAGGAGAGTAGTAACTTCTCCTTTATTGGACATTGAAGTGGAAGTTGGACATTTATCTGTCAGGATACTGTAATGCGGATTTCTGTGTTGAATAAGGATCCTTATCCATTATGTTGGCTTACAACTATATGATTTATTGAGGTCACTATTTTTCAGATCAATTTAAATGTGTTACATGAGAAGAGGCTTTCTTCTCAGCAATATGGATTAAAGGCCTGAATCTCTTCAGTTCAAAAAAATAATCAAGTATTGGTTTTAATAGAATTTTCCTTTTTTTAAAAAAAATTACATTTAAAAATTATACAAAAATATTCCTGAGCATCCAATGAAAAGTCCCCAAATCCACAAAAAGATATATGATAATCAATGTGGTGGTCTTTAATATGCCACAAAGTGTTGTTTGCCAAAGGTTTGAGGTTTTTTTAAATGACTAACAGCCTTTTTATAATAGAGGGACATTCAGAATGGAAATACTGATAAGCTGGTATCTCTTGTAATGTTGCTTTTTTTCTGACAGTCCACTGCCAAACCTCTGACCCTAAAACTCTTAATCATCCTTGCTTGTCAGTGGTATAATTACAATTCTTATCCCCTCTCCCATCTCTTCAGTTTATTAACAATAGCAGTTGTTAAATGCCACATGTAAGTGAAGGAGCCAGATTAATTTTTCAGCCTTCATTTGGGTGGATGGAGCTCTCATATTCCTCTCCTTTGTCTGTGAACAAGACCGATGAAGGCTTTTAGGAACATAAACAGAGACTGACATCATTTTGTGTTATCGATTTGAAAGATTCAGTTTCAGCTGTAGCTTGTGAATGAGTACTGGGGAGATTTCTTCAGAAGAAGGAAAGATGAAGGAAAGAATAGTGAAAACTTTACAGAGATCAGTGTGGAACACATGGATTAGGTGATACCAGAATGAATCCTAAGGATAACAGTCCACACTTGGGGGGAGCAGGAAGGAGCTATTTTTTCCTGTCTTTTCTTGCTTTTCCTCAGCATCTTTGAAATAGAAATTCAAGTAGAGAAGGATTCTTTAAGAGAAGGATCAAGCTTTTGCCCTTACTCTGAAGTACCATGCAGCTGGTTAAAAGTGTATTAAATGCTTTTATTAATTGTCAATAAAAAGCAAATCATCTCATTGAAATCAAAATGAATTTCAGTTTATATGTTCTCAATTCATTATGGAATCTCAGTGTTGCAGTATTGAGGAAGGGCATTATTTTAAGCTAAGGTTTTACATTATTTGCTTTTGAGAGATGTGTCAAATGTCAGATGGAGAGTGATTGTGTAACTGGTTTAAGAGAACATTTTATGACCAGCTCTTGTTGTGTGTCTTGATGCAGTAATTTGATTTGCATAGAAGGCTAAAGTCACATTATTTTGCAGTCTTCTTAACCAGATAGCCTTTTAGAAGCCATCACTGACTGAACCTTAGCTTCCCTATTTGCAATGTGAGCATTAAAGGAATGCTTGCTTTTCATATATAGGAAATTATGTAACATTAAACATCTGATTTTATATATTAAAATCCACTTTTATGAATTCCCAAATGTGCCTGCACTTGCTGGTGTGTGTGTGTGTGTGTGTGTGTGTGTGTGTGTGTGTGTGCGCGCACGCGTGCTTGCGTGTGTGTAAAGAACTCCTGAATTATGTAGTCACTTTCCTCCAAGGTTTTTGATCCGTCCTCTTTCCTGATTAAGTCTTCCCTATTATTTAAGTCCAGTCCAGAATAGCTAATTCTTTTGTACCTTTCTTCAACTTCTGAGTGTGAATGTTGCCTCTCCCTGAATAAGAAATTTGTGAGCAGGATATGTCAGGAATGTCCTGAAGTGAATACAGAGCCCACAGTTGGAATTATTCAGGTTTTCCATCTTTATGTTTTCATACCTGTTTGCATTTTGGAAACATCACTTACAATTTCTATTAGTTGGGTGATCAGTAATAGAACCTATCACAATATTGTTTATTTTAATGAAAATGATTTAAACAATATTACAACATTCGTTCTTAGGTTTCTGTACAGGTATGTGTATTTTTAAACACATTGTAGAACTCCTCCCTTTTTATTGCTTATTTTCCTTTAAAACAAACAGTATTGTTCAGTTGCTGTATTGTAATCATGGGAGGCTTATTCTACCAAATTTCAGTTTTCTTACTCTTTTATTAAATGTATATGTTGCCTTTCTTTAGTGGCCCAAAGCAGCTTAAAGCAACCCATTGCTTCATCCTCAATTTTTTGGTTTTTATGATAGTAATCCTGTGAGATAAGTTAGGCTGAGACACACTGAATTATATTTGTAAAGTTGTATTTCCCTTCCTATACTAAGAGTTCAAACTCACTTTATTTTCTGTATAAAGAATATATAATGCGTTAGACTTCTGATCTAAAATTGCATTTTGGATTTTCTGATATGGATATGCTGAAGTGTTCATTTCTGCTGAGTTATCATCAGGACCTGATTCAATGTGTCAGCTGATGATCAAAGCAAAGAAATTACTAGTGAAAATTAATTCTGAAAGATGGGCATCTGACACACATAATTAACATAATTTATATGCACAGGGAAAAGCCAAGCTGCAGTAAATGTATGCCTTTTACTCACTGAATGATAATATTAACATACAATATTCAGACGCCTTATTATTTCTAATAGGAAGTATCTTGTACTGGTTCTCTAAAACAGTAACTGGATGTTGCAAGTTAGTGAGAGGATTTAGGGAAAATAGGGATGATATTTATTTTTCTGACTGGCCTAAAGTCACTTTTAAAAAATTCTTGCATGTTTAGGTTTCTTTACTACTGTAGCCAGAATTAAAGTTAGAAATAATAAAAATTCTCCAACAGCTTTATATAATGGCCATCTCTTGTTTAACCAACACAAGTAATCACATTTTCAATGAAAGAGGATGTTCCTTTGATTCAGGATAGTAGTTGTAGAAGCTGGCAAGTTAATATTCTCCAAATATATGGGCAAATCTGTTGCCTTATTTGTATGGATGTCTCTTATTAATTTTCTTAGTGTAGAGCAATGTATTTTATGGATGGTTCTTCTACAACATGCAAGAATTCTCCATCTTCTATATTTATGTGTGGAAACACAAGATTCTAGTTTCTGTACCTTTGCCTCTCATACCAAATTATATGAACCAATTAAATGACAAATCATCTTGTCCTCTAACTAACATATAAAAACTGGAGTTGCCAATTCAGAGGCACATTACCAACTCCGAATAATTACCAACTCCGAATATGGGGGCACAAGGATGCAGCTGAGCATGAATCAGTTGGGCAGCTGGAATTTTGGAAATGTGTGTGGAGGAGATTGCTAGCAGCAGGGCTTTTTTTCTCATAGAACACCCATAATGGAGTTCCGGCACTTTTTTGGATGGAACCTTGTAGGGCAGGCAAGGCGGGTTGTATGATGTGTGTGAGTTCCGGCACTTTTTTTTTTTTTTTTAGAAAAAAAAGCACTGGCTAGCAGTCATACTAATGTTTTCATTGAGAATGGTAAATTGGGTAGTTGCATAGATCTATGCATGGAATAGCCTAAATAAATAAGACAGAAGCCAAATAATTTAACAATTGTTTTGCAGTTATCTTGCTGAAATGTTTTAATCACATCGCAGCACTTTTTCTATAAGGTTAGAAATGAAGAAAGCATAAAAAAAATGCAGCAACTTTGCTCAAATTTGATAATCTCCAGATCCATTGATCAAAGTGGGAATTCTAGTCCAACTCATTCTGGGGAATGCCACTTTAGAAAAAGTGGGTTGTGTTAAAAATGTAGAGTGGCAAGTTGCTGCAGTCTTCCCTTTCTTTGTTAAAGTAATCATGAGGAGTTCAAGCAAAGTACGTGGGTGAAAACAAAGAGGAACCGAGATTGTCAACCATTTTAATTTCCACTGCAAAATAAAAAGAAAGGAATGCATTGTAGGCATTTATTTATTTTTCTTTGAGCATTGTAGTGTCCACTGGAGTAACATGGAACTATCAGAATTTGCCAGTTAAGATGAATGATATTAAATTTCAGTGGTGAAATAATTCAATATGCTACAAATTTTTTTTCCAAATACCTGTCAGAGTCACCAGCTATGCTTATTAGAACACCGACCTCAAAGTGTTCCCACATTTTACACTAGAAGCCAATGCGATATTATTTAGGAAGCTATTTGAAGGAGGCAAGTTTCAGTTCACAATGTATCTCTGCACTTTTTCCTCCCAGACGAGCCCATCTCCGCCTATGTCTAGAACGCTTAAAAGTTCTGATACCATTAGGACCTGACTGCACCAGACACACAACCCTTGGATTGCTTAACAAAGCCAAAGCACACATTAAGGTAAGAGGAGCATCAGTTTCCATTTATAATAATATTTCGGTTACCCCACTAGCCATAATTGCAGGTAAGATTATCATCTTCCTCAGAGAGTTCACATCATGACGTTGGTATAATACCTTTAAAAGCATGTCCCAGCATTTTTGTGGCACTATTTTTCTCAGTAAATTTGCAGAATTTGTTTGCTCCCTAAGGCAGTCTGGTATAGAAATTATAGAAATCTGAAGTCTGGTGTAGAAATCATTGACTTAACGTTCAGCATATAATTGCTTAAATACCATCTTTTAAACATCACAAATCATTTAAAAATCCTGAATACCACAGTTCTACAAAATACAATTAAAAAATGTTAAAAGAAATTTATATTGTATCATTGGTACTATCAATTGTCATTGGGCTTCATCTAACAAAGTGTTTTCTGTGAAGTTCAATATTGCTTGTTGAGATAGTATAGATAGACTCTTGGGCATACCTATGTTTGAATACCCAAATAGTATGGCACATCTATCAAGATAATTTCCAAGTTAAATGAAGTTTTATTTCTGTTTCCATCCTAAACTGTATTCAGGCATCTGACAAATACATACTAGGATATGAAGTGTTATGTTTATCATTGATGTTATGCATGACTTTATAATCATAGATTATTTTTTATATTTTTAAATACAAAAGATATGATGGCAATAGCATTATTCAGAAACTATTAATCCCAGATATATTGTATATACCAGTACCATTGTGAAACAATAATAAAAGCAAAATGCTAAGTATGTAGCTGAAATCATATAAAACATACTATGCAAGAGTTATATCGTGCCTTAAACGACTTCCTGAAAATATTATTGACTACCAACCATGTTTAACCATCTTTCTTCAACCTACTAATGTTACTGTCCACAGTTTAATTAGAGGGCATGAACTTAGGAAAGGCCATGCTGAAGAGTGTTCCAGATTTTAGGTTATACTTACTAGTGAAGCATCAAGTGAGATAATCTAAACCACATGGAGCAGCAACCAGAGTCAGTTATTCAGAACAGACCATTCTCTGCACAGCTCTATGTGCCACTGAGCAGACCACATACATCAGGAAGAAAATATTAATGACCTAGAGCAATCAGCAAGTGTTAATTATTCAAATCTACATGTTCTCTTTGCATTCTATTTACAATATATGGGAACTGCATTTGGAAAATAAATATAGGACCTAATAACAAACAAACAAAAAAAAGAAATTTATTTAAAAAGAGCACTGCAGGTGCCCTGGTTACAGTCTTTCTGACCCTTCCCTGATGTGTGGTGTTTTTTTTTTAAGAGTAGTGCCAGGCACACAGGGATCAGGATGTGCTTAAACACTGGAACAGCTCAAGCTTAGCAGGGAGGGAAACCCTGCTTACTTAAATGAATGGCATTAGCCTGAGATGACTTGGAGTTATGCAACTTGCTGGCCATCAAGAAACCCTGTGTATTGGTCTGGTAAGATTTCTCAGCTGTGATGAAAGGAGTCTGCAGTAGATTACATAAATGACTGGTCAAATGAGGAAATGCTTCAAGGAAATAGCTGATAAATTAAATAGTGAAGGTATACAGTGGGGCAAAAAAGTATTTAGTCAGCCACCAATTGTGCAAGTTCTCCCACTTAAAAAGATCAGAGAGGCCTGTAATTGTCATCATAGACCTCAACTATGAGAGACAAAATGAGAAAAGAAATCCAGACAATCACATTGTCTGATTTGGAAATAATTTATTTGCAAATTAGGGTGGAAAATACGTATGTGGTCAATATCAAAAGTTCATCTCAATACTTTGTTATATATCCTTTGTTGGCAATGACAGAGGTCAAACGTTTTCTGTAAGTCTTCACAAGGTTGGCACACACTGTTGCTGGTATGTTGGCCCATTCCTCCATGCAGATCTCCTCTAGAGCAGTGATATTTTGGGGCTGTTGCTGGGCAACACAGACTTTCAACTCCCTCCAAAGGTTTTCTATGGGGTTGAGATCTGGAGACTGGCTAGACCACTCCAGGACCTTGAAATGCTTCTTACAAAGCCACTCCTTCGTTGCCTGGGCGGTGTGTTTGGGATTATTGTCATGCTGAAAGACCCAGCCTCATCTTCATCTTTAATGCCCTTGCTGATGGAAGGAGGTTTGCACTCAAAATCTCACAATACATGGCCCCATTCATTCTTTCCTGTACATGGATCAGTCGTCCTGGTCCCTTTGCAGAGAAACAGCCCCAAAGCATGATGTTGCCACCCCCATGCTTCACAGTAGGTATGGTGTTCTTTGGATGCAACTCAGCATTCTCTCTCCTCCAAACATGACGAGTTGTGTTTCTACCAAACAGTTCTACTTTGGTTTCATCTGACCATAGGACATTCTCCCAGTCCTCTTCTCGATCATCCAAATGCTCTCTAGCAAACTTCAGACGGGCCCGGACATGTACTGGCTTAAGCAGGGGGACACGTGTGGCACTGCAGGATCTGAGTCCCTGGCGGCGTAGTGTGTTACTGATGGTTGCCTTTGTTACGTTGGTCCCAACTCTCTGCAGGTCATTCACTAGGTCCCCCCGTGTAGTTCTGGGATTTTTGCTCACCGTTCTTGTGATCATGTTGACCCCACGGGGTGAGCTCTTGCGTGGAGCCCCAGATCGAGGGAGATTATCAGTGGTCTTGTATGTCTTCCATTTTCTAATTATTGCTCCCACAGTTGATTTCTTCACACCAAGCTGCTTGCCTATTGCAGATTCAGTCTTCCCAGCCTGGTGCATGTCTACAGTTTTGTTTCTGGTGTCCTTCGACAGCTCTTTTGTCTTCACCATAGTGGAGTTTGGAGTGTGACTGTTTGAAGTTGTGGACAGGTGTCTTTTATACTGATAACAAGTTCAAACAGGTGCCATTAATACAAGTAATGAGTGGAGGACAGAGGAGCCTCTTAAAGAAGAAGTTACAGGTCTGTGAGAGCCAGAAATCTTGCTTGTTTGTAGGTGATCACATACTTATTTTCCACCATAATTTGCAAATAAATTCTTTCCACATCAGACAATGTGGTTGTCTGGATTTGTTTTCTCATTTTGTCTCTCATAGTTGAGGTCTACCTATGATGACAATTACAGGCCTCTCTCATCTTTTTAAGTGGGAGAACTTGCACAATTGGTGGCTGACTAAATACTTTTTTGCCCCACTGTATACACTTCACTTGTGATGCTTTTTCCTATTAAATTATCTGAATGGAGACTGGGCAGTGATGGAAAGAACTACTCATGCTCTACCTGATCCTCTCCTTTTCATTACTCTAAGATTGGACTGAGAAGCAAACTGATTATTTTTGTAGGGTTGACACTACTTTTCCTTACTTGCAAGGATGCCATTTAAGGGCATATATCTGACACATAATTACACAGCAGCACATATGTGATATATCATTCATATTCTTCATCGCTAATCCTCCAACTTTGCCAAAAACATATTTCCAATTTTCTCTGTAGTCATAAACAACACCAAATTACCTTCTGACAAAGCTCTCAAAATAAGATCTGAAGAGAATATTAGTAAATAAAATGGGGAACGTGCAGGGGAAATCCAGACAATGAAAAACAATCTTTTATCATGGCAGAAACTTGAAGAAGCCGACAGGAGAAGCCAGCATCAGCTTGAGAACCTGGAAAGAGAGCAAAGGTTCCTAAAGCGACGATTGGAGCAGTTGCAAAGCCCTCAGGACATAGAGCGAATACGAATGGACAGCACTGGATCAACCATGTCCTCAGATCGCTCTGATTCAGAGCGAGGTCAGTATTTGATCCCTCCATATGTTGGTTAAAGACACAAAATGTTCACTTCTCTTTGCTCTGTACAATTTCTTTGCCTCAACCAATGGGTAATCATAATTTCATTCAGATTGCAAGATGAATGAGACACGACTTGAGTGAGTCTTGTCTGGAAGCCTACGTCATTTAGGAGTCCTTAATATCCCTATTCAATTTAGCAGATCTTAAAAGCTGTTAATTTTGGTCTCTATCTAAAATATATTTGATTTTTTTTTTTTTTGCCCATTTGGGTTGAATTCATACAAGTATCAGCAACTTCCAGGTCTACAAGATACCTACTTAAAATAATTTAGTCTTATGTAAAGTACTTCATAAGTACAAAGACTCTTTCTGTATCTGTTTAAAAATGTATATGGTAGACCTGCAACTATCTGACCAAGTAGTTACACTCTGGAACATTATTACTTGGTTAATTGTCATTTGTACTCATTCCCTCTGTTTAATTCTCCAAATTTGCCAAGATATAAATTCAATTTTCTTGAGAGTTAAAAACAGCACTAATGATATTCTAGCAGAGCTTTCAAATTAATATGTAGTAGAAACTTATTTGGATATTGTTTATTTTCCCATGATACTATCATGATTTTTTGATAGGAAAGGCATCAATGCTAAGACATCACAAGATTATTTGCACATCATCCAGAAACAGCTTTCACTAGAATGATGAGACTGATATAAATACAATTATCTTTAGCTCTACTTAGGCATTTGAATGAAACAGTGCTAATGATAAACATTGCATCCATCAGAAGTTATTCAAATCAATGGCATATTCTCAAGATGTTCATGCAAATAGGCAAATGTCTTTAGGAAAAAAACCTTTATGTGTGGCTACTGAATTCTGTACTGGCTAAAAAAATGGTAGTACAGGACTCTGGTCTACATGAAACAAACTAATCATAATTCTATAGGCAAAGATTTTCCCCTACTATGAATATGCCGAGAGGATTAACTTTAGGGTGAAGAGAGAACTTACTTTGAAGTTTTCTTTCTTTTTCTGAATAGGGCTAGAGGCTTCTCTTAGCTTAACAATTATAGATTGGGATTCTTGCTTTATGAAATTAAGATAATAAAGGACCTTGTTTTCAGGCATTATACTCAGACTAATATAATAGGGAAGGGAGAGGTCAACAACTATCTGGGATGATATCCCTCTTAGAATATTTGATTTTAACATTAATTCATTGACACGTGTTTCTCAGAAAGACAGGTTGCTGCTTCTTCTTAGATGAATGTGCGATTCAAGAATTAAATGCATAGTAGTAGGTATTTCCCCTTGAGGTTTTTGTTATCCTGAGAGTGTTGAGGCACCATGCTGGATAAACCAAAAGAATGTGGGTTGGTTTTTTTTTTTAACACGGCATACATTTGGGCTTCCCTGGGTCCAAATGCCACTGTATTTTTGCAGATTTTTTCAAGGCCATCTGCCCTAGCCACCTTAAAAACGTGTTTGTTTTTTTTTTAAAAAAATCTGCTCAGAAAGTATTTCTAATTACTTTGAGCAGCTGATAAACTGATACTTGGGTCTTTAGCCATTCTTCTCTCTTGGCCTAAAATACATAGATCCAGAATATCTTTGAGAGACCTAGACAACACTGCAACAATAGAGGCTAAAGCTTTACTAGAATAGAAAACTCAATTAATCAAGAGAATTTAGGTAACACTACCCTTCTTGTTTCACAAACGATCCATGCTATCCTTCTATGATCTTCTGTTATTTTGCATTACTTCTTCAAATTCTTAATGTGAAACTTTAAAACTTCAAATATGCAAAGAAGTTTTATTCTATGAATAGCACATCTATCTTGATGTACAGTACTGCTCCTTAATGTAGACTGAGAAATCTGTTTGGGGTGAGTGGATAAGAGAAAAGTCTATTCATGTATAGAATATTGATTAATATTTATCAGTTTAATCCAGGGCACTGTGACCAGATATAAATATTAAACTAGCAATCAAACGATAGTTGGCTATTAATACAAATTTGTAAAAAATAAGTGCTGTCCAATTTCTTTAATTCTTTCAAAATTCTTATCAATATCACAAAGCACTTTTCTCTCTTTTGCTCATTGTTTTTGCAAAGATCTCATCATACAACTTTACAATAACTCCTGAGGATGTGGCTGGAATGAACCTAGATTCTTCAAGCTTGGATGGTCTTAAATAAACTTACTTTGATACTAACTTGAGACTCTTTTTTTTTCCCCAGAAGAAATTGAAGTGGATGTGGAAAGCACAGAGTTCTCCCATGGAGATGTGGATGATATCAGCACAACCAGTACAAGTGACATTGATGATCACAGCAGCTTGCAGAGCATTGGGAGCGATGAGGGTTACTCCAGCGCTAGTGTCAAGCTCTCCTTCACTTCCTAGAGCCTGGTGCTAGAGCAGAGCAACTGGTTTCTTTGGGGCAACTGAGTTTCATATGGCAGAGCTCTTAAGATACAGTATTTTTCTTACCCAACCCACCCTTCAACAGCTAAGCTTGGACAGACACAACTTTAGAATAGCTCCATGTGTCCATGGAAGAGTGGGAACCTAGCAAGGGAACCAATTAATCTTTATTTGACCATAATCCAAAATTTTTGACTTAGTGCTAAACTTCAGTTAATTTCAAATCCAGGACACCATTCCAGTTACATATAGCTGGACTGAGATTTTCCCATCAGCAATGGATACCTGAATTGAAAGATGGATTGGATGGGAAACTTGGCTGTTCAGGTGCTTGCATTTTAATTTGTCACAGTTGTGGTTTTTTTCCTTCCCATGTTCAAAATTAACAAACTTGTTATAAGACCCTTGTGGTGCTAATAATAAATAATATAAAGTATGTCCAATATCTATGATAATCTAACATATCTGGGATGGCTATATGTTGGTCCCAAATGATGGGATAAAGTAGCCACGGTAATATAGTTCATTGGATGAACCACTTCCAATGCATTTGCACAATACTTTGAAGTTATTTTTTTTAAGCTCCTTTTTAAAATTCTTTAAATTCCATCAAAGAATTTTTTTCCCCTTTAATATAACTAAGCAGTTAAATAGATTTCCTGTAGCCTCACCAGCAAAAGTTAGTCCAGTCAGCATCTTTTATTAACTGGATATCTCCAGCCGTCTTTGATCATTATTATCTGAGAAATGTAATAATAGCAAGATGCTCTGCTTATATCTTATGAGAGGTGCTGCAAATCTGAAAGCACTTCCCATTCAGCTCAGTGTTTCAGCTGGACATGGTTTCAGGGCAAGAAACTTGGGCTGTATGATTTTTACCACTAGATTATTGAGTTGTAGCAGGCCACCACAGGTGCAACCGTGCTCTGGATTCAATGGCTGAGCTAGAATGATTCTCCTGATACAGAGAGTGAGACCAGCCTGTAAAACAAGTGATGAAGTGCAGAAAAGACACAAGTCTCCATTCTGAGCCACAGTTACCTATTTTTTTCTTTTGCAAATTATTTTGATAAACATTTGTAAACGTTTGGATGAGAAAACCTATACGTGACAATGTATTTCTAGATCTCCTAGGCATGATCCTGCAAATCTCTTTTATAATTAACACCAATTGAAAGGGACTTGTTTTTCTGCTGCCATGCACAAGATGAACAGGGACTCTTCTTGGTTTTATGGCTCTACCTTTTGGATTCCCTTTGCAGACTTTGGCACCTGGATTTCTAATATAATCTTGGGTCCATAGCTAAGAAGCATCTCGACGTAGCAATTTGCTAGGTTGATTCCAATTTCTCCTGAGCAGAAACTGTTGTTGTTTTGCAGTTAAAGAATAAGATTGTATCCAATGTTTTTATCATTGTTTTTATTTTGAACTTTCTAACCTGCACTTTGAGGTCTCTGCTTCTCTTTTAGCTTTTTAACCACAGAGATACTTATTACTGTTCCTTTACCAAGTTTAAACTTTATTCTTTATTTTGAGACTTCATTTATGACACTTATTTGAGGATTTGGTTTGGGGGGTGGTGGTAGTAATTTGCCTGTTCCCCCAATTACTAAGGGAAAAACATGAAAAGTAAAAAAAAATGCTTTATAAACTCATAACTTATTGCTGATTATAATTACTGGTTGTTAATTTCAGTCCTGTAGATCTTTTAATTTTATTGTTTAGATAGGACTGGGTGACAAAAATAAAACAAAATAACCTCATTTAGCAGTACAGTGGAATTGTGTTTAAATGTTAGCATATGTTTCTGCTTAATAGTAGCACTTTAATACCATTAAACATTTCTGTATCTGAAATACATTTGTTCTGCCATGTTGGTCACTCATGAGACTCATGTTGTTTGTGCCTGGAAAAAACAATCCTCCATTAGCCATGTGATTAGATACCCCCAATGACTTCTCCTGTAGATCTTGTCTCAGTACTGTTATGTTGTGTGATTTAACCCCAATGTGTTAGGCATTTGCCCCAGAACTATTATTATATTGTATAACCTACCACTTTAGGACCTGTGACATGTATTAGAGACATCATGCTGCCAGGTTTTATAGTGTGTTCATAGCTGGGGTTTTAATTCTTATGTTCATTAAAATCTGGTTGCAGTTACACATCTCTCTCCCCTATGGAATTAAAACTAAGTACCACCAGTTTATATGGTAACCTCTCCCTCTAGTGGCTGAAATAGGAATGGTTAGTTTTAGATAATGAGAGTAAAAATTTCAATAAGAACTTTTTATAATTCTGAGGCCTATTAATATGGCTAGTGTTTTAGTGCAATTTGGTGGGAGTGCAAGAATGAACACTGAAAACTCAAATGAGCTGTCAATCCTAATCTATGATTTCTTATCCCAGCAAAATAAACTTGTTTCTGTGAATTCAGATGCAGAAACTTACTTAAAAGAGTATATTTTCTCTAAGCAAAAAGGCCTGACTTCAAATTTTAAATGCTGTCTTCACTAGTCCACTGGGTCAGTGTGTTAGAACTAGAAAGGCAGGGCTGGATAATCACTTCTAATACACTATCAATACAGGAGACAGGCAAGAACCTGATTGGAGAAACCTGATATAGTGGCTTGCATGAGAAAATAATTTCAAGAAGAAAGGCTGAAGCAACAGCCTTGACTTAAAGTCTGGAAAGTTTGCTTTAAAGAATGCACAGCTTCTAGCTTAAATTAGGATCATGTGAAAATGATTCTGCACCAATTCCCAATAAAGTATGTTTAGTCTTAATTCAAAACCATTTAATCATTCACCTTATGTCATAATCTTCTTTGGTGTATTTGACTTGGTAAATAAGAAACTATAATCAGGATAGACATCTCTGGAGATAATACTCTTTCTGTTTTACCAAGTGGAAAAAAGTATTACATCATTTATTGAGTAGGGTGTACTGCAGCCAGCCTGTCATAATCTATTGAGAGGACATACTATATAATTTTCATAAATGTGAAACCATGTCCTTCATTATCCTTTTGCATTTTGGGATGTTATACTTGTTCCTTATCTTCAATTCACAACCTCATATTTTTTTTTCCCACCATACAAAAATTGGATTCTGGTTTGGAATATAAGCCTATGCAAGTTTACTTAGAGGTAAATCCCGCTATGTTCCATGGGACTTACTCCCATTTGTATCTGCATCAAATTAAGCCTTAGATTCAGACATGAGGTTGTATACACTTTTGCATTTAAAATGCAGGGTAATTTTTTTATATAATGGGAGTGGTTGTATCGGCATCCAAGCAGGGCAGTCTGAGGCAAAACCTATTTTTCTGCTTTGGAAAATCTCTTCTGAAGGTGGCATTAGCTTTGGAGAAAAAAAAAATGCCGCCAGTTCAAGATCATCTATGCATCTTGATGTTAGCCACCTCAAAAGGCTAAATAGAAATGCTATTCTCTTACATGTTATGCTTTTATAATAAGCAGTTCAGACAGCCATCCTAGTATGATCTGAAAAAGTCACATTTACCGATACATCATTCCAGATCTGTGCCCTTATCTTCTACTTGGCAATACTGTGTGTATGAGAAGAATGATTCTGTATTTTAATGGGAAAAAAAAAGATGCACGAGGGCATTTATACTTGTTACATTAAAAAAAAACAGGATTCCTATAAAGTTATTAAATTTTCACTTATGGCAAGTAAAATTGTTGTCCTTATGGCTTATACTGCTTCAGGCTGAGATGTTTTGTATTTCCTAGCTCTACTAAATGAAAATTTCCAAGACTGAAACAGAATTTATATACATTTTACTTAAATATGTATATTGGATGTTTTTAATGGATTATTTAGAGAGGTGTCCGCTGTATCTAAATTTACATCATTTGTGTCTATTTATGTGAATGGTATAATTTGCAGTAAAACTTCAATTATATTAGATAAATTATAGACTCCAAATGAAAAAATTGTCTGTTACTTCAAAAATGAGTCAAAGGAAGGGCTTACTATGTAATGAAGGCTATTGGGTACTTTTTCCTCTGTGGTATCTTGGATCAAACTAGCGGCTAAATTTAACTTTTAAAAAAGTTTTGAATGCTAAATTCCAGCATATTGTAACTTGTTTTACCAACTAGTTTAATTATTTAAAAGTCCTGATTTTTAGAAGCCTGAAACCTGCCTGGTTACTTTATTTTTTTCTCTTTAGTTTCCTTGTACAGAAGAGCTGGGGAATTCAGTTATATCCATATACCAATTTGGTTGGGCATATGCCAAAAAAGAAGAAATAGGGCTGTATACTTATGTGAAATAAAAGCAGGCAAGTAAGGAAGTAAAAGCTTCAGAAAGCAGAAACATTTGGTATATGTTAATCACGTCAAGACTTTTTACTGTTTCCCAGAAAAGATAAGACCCAGTCTTATTTATTTATTTATTTGCCTCCAAAAGAGACACCAGGTCTTATTTTCCGGGGTGTGTGTGTGTGTGTGTCTTTTCCACTCACTGACAGCCCCGCGCAGCTGCCGAAGGAGCAGCTTCATTCTGCAGCTCAGAATGGAGCTTGGGACTGCATTTTGCAGTCAGGCCTTTCTGGGAAGCCTGTGATTCAATCCATAGCTCGGTTCTCAGTTGCAGAGGCCTGACTGCAAAATGCAGGCATGGCTGCAGAAGATGCCGAAGAAGTGGAGGAGAGGCCTGGCTGCCAGGTTAGTGATGTGGTGCACATGGGGCAGCTCCACACTCCCACCCCAGCTTGATTTTTAGGTGTGTGCCTTGCCCTAAAACTAGGGCTTATTTGGGGGGGTAGGGCTTATATTAGGCCCACCCCCAAAAATCAAGCTAGGGCTTATTTTCAGGGTAGATCATACTTTCAGGGAAGCACAGTAGGAGTGTATTAAACAGAGAACTGGAAGCAATAGTTAAAGTCACTTTTTATTCAGACATATCCATTCTGTTTGTCTATCTCACCCTGCACAGGTAGTTTTTACATTAAGACTTTTTAATGACCAAGCAAAGTTATGCTGGCATTGAAAAAAGTGACTTACACCTAGTCCCCACTTACCACTGCAGTGTTCATGTGATCAAAATTTGGGCACTTGGCAACCAGCACGTATGTACAACAGCTATACCATCCTTTCCAGGGGGTTCCAGCAAGCAAAATCAAAAAGGAAGACGTATTTGCTTAATAACCAGTTCTGTTCCCAATTGGGATCTTAAGTGAGGACTACCTATTCTACATCAGTTGGTAAATGTAATATCCCTGGTATCCAAATTATGAAAAAATAATTTGGAAGCGTTTATTTCCTTGTGTGCACTAGTTGACATTTCCTTACCAAAAAAAAAGGAATACTGAAAAACTTATCAGCATTACAGGCTTTTTTTTCCTTTGCAGCTGTTTTACTATGAATCTTGAATTATTTGTACTATTTAGCTGGTCAAATTAGAAAACATATAAAGAATGTTTGGCATGTGCTAAAAGTTTTTTTTTAAGGGATTCTAAAGATCCCTTAAAAGTTGTGCACATCTTTTCAAAAATAGCAAAGACACAAATACAGTATTCTGAAGTAGTCCTAGATAATACCAGTTGGAAGTACCTCACTTTATTATGTAAATGCTTCCTTGTGCTTCAGATATTGGTATCATCTTTCGTATTCTTCCCTATCCTGCAGTAACATGTAGTACAAATACAGTGTTTTGTTTTGAAATGTACTTCTAGGAATGTAACACTGCAAACAGTAACTCTTGTCAGCAAAAGAAGCAGGAGTTTGTATCTCAGGGCCAGTTCTCATTAGCACTGGACAAAGTAACTAAAAATACACTGATCAATTTTTCAAGATATGAGCCAATGGTTCTGCTTTTAGAAGCTTTCAAAAATAATAATTACTATTCTGTGTTATGCCAAAGGTTGAATTTATTAACAACTGAAGAAATAATCTAGCAGGATTTTTAGTGGTTATTGCTGTGAGTCTATATGGCATTCACTGATCAGCTCACTCAATCTGTACTTTATTTAGGGTATCTATAAATGTTGAAACAATAAGGCAAATAAAGACCAACAGGGAAGACCCTATGACTACAAATAACTTGAACATCATTAGCTCTAACCATTGTATTTATACTTTATTTCTAGCAGCAAAAGAAACTTAAAAGATCAAATACAATGCTCCCTAAAAAATGTAATCATAGAACAAAATTATTAAACCCCCTTGAAGGAGCTTCATTAGGCTACTTCCTATTTAAGTACACATAGCAAACAACTGAAGAAGATGAAAGCCAATTCACTAATCCAACACTACCAATTTCAGTTATTTATTAAGGGAGAGTATACAAAGCTGCAATTGGTCATGATGAGAGGGATATATGCAGACATTTTTTCTTCATAGTAACTTGCTGTTTTAAATTGCTTATTAAGCTCCATTTGGAATACATTTCAAGTGAATGCAAGCTAGCATCTTGTATAAAATGTTTACCTATTACAGTAAATATGTAATTCAAATAAATAGCAAGATAGTTACTTTTACAGACAAAACTACTCTGGCAGTGCTGACAGTGCTTTTATTGAAATTAGTTGGTGCACAATACTGCACTTACTGAGTGACATGTTACTTGCATTAAATTGCTTTTTAAAATCACAATTGCTAGAAATTACTTCCCATGTATTCTTTTCCTCAACCACACCATGTAGATCTTGGGTTTGTAAAGATTATTCTTACTAAACTGAAGTATGTAAACACTGCTTGTGATGATCAAATCTACTCAGAGCAAAGGATATAATTCTAGTTTGATATTTTAGTTGGAAAACACTAACATATTTTCTTGATTCCTAGCAAAAAAAGAAGCTTTTACTGTTTTGCTACTTAAAAGAAACAAGCTAATGAAATTGCATTGTAATCTTACTATGATTTAAGTGTGCAGCTATGAATGACAGAAAGTAAATACAGTTCAGGATCTTAAATCTAATGCACTCATTTTATCTTCTATCACGTTAGCCAGTATCTAATGCAAAAATTAGGGTTGTGCCACTATGTTACTCAGATATTTATCGGGAGAAAAAAAATCAGGATTTTTTCCCATTTTTAATAAATTATGGAATTCTTTTGCAATCTTTAAAAGGGGAAATCACATGGTGCTATGATTCTACATAGTACTATGATATTGCACTAGTCTAAGAATGCAATTCCAATCCTAAGCAAATGTATCCTGAATGAATACTGTACATTTTGACTACATATGGACTTCAGTGCAAGCTCACTTTTAAGGTGTCTTCTGTCACCTTTTCAATTCCTTTGAATTTGCCTGAACTATGGCAGTTATATTTTGATTCTGTAGCCAACTGGTACTTTTTGAGGATTTGAAAGCTACAAAACATCCCAATAAATCTCTAATATGCAGATTGACCAGTATAAAACAATACCGAAATGCTGATTGCATCTCTCTATCTGTAATGGTGCAGGGATGGTGCTGACAACATTGTTGCATTTTCATCATTGTAAACATAACTCTTTTGTTTGTGGCCATCTATTTTAACTTGTTTAAATATATAAATAAATTTTATGACATTTTATTTCAAGTAAGTTTGTTATTTTTCTACTTTCTGGTATCACTTATGTTAACAGAAGTTCCCAAAACACAATCAACATCTTAACTCCAATGCTCACATGCTTTGAGAATTACAACCCAGCATTTCACATGGGTGCAGCAGCATCTATGCTGGACACTCCTGGCCAAGTTTTTTTTCCCCAGTATTCTCATGATGAATCACAAGTTGCTTTTGAAATGGTTTACAAGATGTAACAGAATTTTATACAGTGAGGGGGGAAATTATTTGATCCCCTGCTGATTTTGTATGTTTGCCCACTGACAAAGAAATGATCAGTCTATGATTTTAATGGTAAGTTTATTTTAACAGTGAGTGACAGAATTAACAAATCCAGAAAAACGCATTTCAAAAGTTATAAATTGACTTACATTTTAATGAGTGAAATAAGTATTTGATCCCCTATCAATCAGCAAAGTTTCTGGCTCCCAGGTATCTTGTATACAGGTAACAAGCTAAGATTAGGAGCACTCTTTTAAGGGAGTGCTCCTAATTTCAGCTTGTTACCCATATAAAAGACACCTGTCCACAGAAGCAATCAATCAGATTCCAAACTCACCACCATGGCCAAGACCAAAGAGCTGACAAGGATGTCAGGGACAAGATTGTAGACCTACACAAGACTGGAATGGGCTACAAGACTATTGTCAAGCAGCTTGGTGAGAAAGTGACAACAGTTGGTGCGGTTATTCGCAAATGGAAGAAACACAAAATAACTGTCAATCTCCCTCAGTCTGGGGTTCTGTGAAAGATCTCACCTCATGGAGTTTCAATGATCATGAGAATGGTGAGGAATCAGCCCAGAACTACATGGAGGATCTTGTCAACGATCTCTAGGCAGCTGGGACCATAGTCATCAAGAAAACAGTTGGTAATACCCAATACTATGAAGGACTGAAATCCTGCAGCGCCTGCAAGATCCCCCTGCTCAAGAAAGCACATGTATAGGCCCATCTGAAGTTTGCCAATGAACATCTGAATGATTCAGAGAACTGGGTGAAAGTGTTGTAGTCAGATGAGACCAAAATCGAGCTCTTTGGCATCAACTCAACTCGCCGTGTTTGGAGGAGGAATGCTGCCTATGACCCCAAGAACACCATCCCCACCGTCAAACATGGAGGTGGAGACATGCTTTGCGGGTGTTTTTCTGCTAAGGGAACAGGACTTCACCACATCAAAGGGACGATGGACAAGGTCATGTAACATTAAATCTTGGGTGAGAACCTCCTTACCTCAGCCAGGGCATTGAAAATGGATCGTGGATGGGTATTCCAGCATGTCAATGACCCAAAACACATGGCCAAGGCAACAAAGGAATGGCTCAAGAAGCACATTAAGGTCCTGGAATGGCCTAGCCAGTCTCTAGACCGTAATCCCATAGAAAATCTGTGGAAGGAGCTGAAGGTTCGAGCTGCCAAACGTCAGCCTCAAAACCTTAATGACTTGAAGAGGATCTGCAAAGAGTAGGACAAAATTCCTCCTGAGATGTATGCAAATCTGGTGGCCAACTACAAGAAACGTCTGACCTTTGTGATTGCCAACAAGGGTTTTGCCACCGAGTACGAAGTCATGTTTTGTGAAGGGGTCAAATACTTATTTCACTCATTAAAATGCAAATCAATTTATAACTTTTTTGAAATGAGTTTTTCTGGATTTTTTTTGTCGTTATTCTGTCTCTCACTGTTAAAATAAACCTACCATTAAAATCATAAACTGATCATTTCTTTGTCAGTGGGCAAACATACCAAATCAGCAGGGGATTAAATAATTTTTTCCCTCGCTGTAAAGAAGCAATAGTTCAAGACCTATCTGGATATAATGTTAGCTGTATTTGTTCTTTACCTACAATTCTAGCTTTACGCATTTCATAAGCTATTTTTCCCAAATAAAGAAGCTATTTATCCATAAAATATTATAACACAAAGTTTGCAACTATGTTGTTCAGTCAGTACCCAATTGCTCAAAATAAAGTCATATGTCCAGGATATATCATACCTTTATAAGAACATTTTCCTCATAAATGATAAAACAAGCACATTTCTATCTGGATTACCCCTTTCCCCTACTCTTTAGTAATGGTATATCAACTTATATCAAATCATTTTAACAAGGTTTTGGGGACATAGCAAACAAATTTTAAACACTTTATTTTAATAAAAGTTACATACAAAACTGAGATCAACACAGTAATAAAAATTACTTTGCCTTTTTGTTGACGGGAAGAATCTATAGGTGGATTATAATCTACTAGTTATGGGTTTAAATGCTGATAAAGTGGCAGACTTTCACTAGTGTGTATCAACAAGTATTGATGTTACCTGATTTTAATTCAGAAAACAAATTACAAAAGGGAACTACAATGTAACAGACATAAGCAATGGCATTCAGATTAATGAGCAAGAATTACTTCTGAATTATTTAGAAGGAGTAATAACTAAATTCACTCTTGTTCATTAACACCATATTTTACAAAAATATTTATTTACACTGTATACAGGGCTATACATTAACTTTTTCTCTCAAACACATTTGCAAGATTAAAAGATGCCATTGCTACCCTAAGTATTATACATAGCGAAGGGAAGCAATTTCATCCAGAAGATACAAGAATGCCAGAACATTTACACGTGGTTTTCCAAATAAAATCAAGAACGTTCAGCTAAAGTAATACAGTTGAATTATGGCATTATTGGGATAGAACACCATCTATACTTAAATATAGCTGGATCAACTGTAAAACTGAGTAAGCACTAAATGACTTTTTGCAGTATGTTCGTTAAATAACTGCATCATAATAAGCCATTACATTTTCAGTGAAAATAACTACTTCCAAGTGTATAATTCATATCTCCCAGTTTTAAAGTGCTAGTCCATCCTTGAAAATTACTGAGAAAAACTTATACAGATCATAGCTAAATTCTTATTAACTTTAATTTCTATAAACACACTTTCCAGTTTGCCAGTGTTAAGTATGTTTTTTCTGAAAAGATTCTCTGCCTTTTTCCAGACTTACAAAATTTGGTATTTAGAAACGCAGTACAAATCATCCAGTTCCTAATATTTTTTAACTCCACAGAGAAAACTCACTCTGATTCATGAGTTTTTAACTATAACAAAATGTTTTGAATGGTTCTAAGCTACTCCATACAAAATAGTAAGATCTCATATGTAGTTAGGGTGGAGGAATCTCCAAGTTCTTGTACCGGGTTTGGAGTGACTTGCGACGTTATGATACATTTTGATACTTTCTAAGTCTCACATGTCTGAATCCATCTATCTTTAACTAGCTAAAGCAATGGATATAGAATCATACAGCACTAATGAAAGGATGTGAGATTTGGGACCAATTCCTCATCTTGAGGAAAGTCATTGTTAAGCATGAAATCTGTCTAGTTATCTTTACCAAGATTGTAGCTCTAGGTTTCTGCTCTTTCAGATAAAAAACACTTCCTATCAGCACATTCCAGTCTATATTCAATCAGAGTAAAATCCCAATAAATATCTCAATTGAATTATTTCTGAACAAATAAAGAACACCTAATAATGCTCTTGTAGGAATGTAATACGACTGTTAGATATCAAAAAGAGCAAAATATGGGATAATTATTTTATTACATCCTTGTTTGCTTGGTAGTATTTTCAGTATGTGGCTGAATAAAGACACTATATCAGACTGAAGGCTTCAAAATATTGCAAAGGGTATTTCTTCAACATTCAAAGTTGTGCATATCTATACAAAATTTTAGAACAATAACGGGGTCATCTGAATATCTGTAATAATTAAGGCTTGTACCAGCAAAAGCCAAGTGATGGCAACACCATTTTCATTACGCACCAATTGTTTACTGTTAGAAAAATATAACAATAAAAAGATAAATGTAAAGCCCTGCAAATATGACAATTTCCCCCTTAATTACTGGGGCATCAAATGTCTAACATTATACTTCGATGTATCTTGGTATTGTGTCATAGGTTTGTCTGCAATTCCACAGGTCCCAACTCCAACCTTTCCTGTAACACTCTCAGGAGAAGCAAAGATACTCCGCTTTACCTGTGGAACAAATTAAAAATACAATTTGAATTACTTTGAAAATGCAACAAATAATAAATTACTATATCAATAATGTGGTTTATCAGTGATTAAATATTCTGAATCATATAAATTTTATCTATTTGGCTTATTTCTATACAAAGAGATTGATTAAATTATACTTCACTGGGCCATACAAAACTGAACAATCTGAGATACACAAAACATTAAGATTTACAACAACAGCATAAAAGCTTGTTGTACAAAGTTTGTGCAAAACATTTCAAATTCAAAACATTCTGAGAACAGATTGCTTTATTTTGGAAATATTCTGTACTCAAATAACAAGGTTCAAATTCAAACTATAGAACTATTCTGAGAACCAAATGACTCTGGGATGATCAATATACCTATTTTAGTCTAGAACTACTAGAATTCAAAATATTGCCCTAAAGTTTTATACCGTGCATGCTTAACTTTTCTATTAGTTTATCTTGTAAAATTACAAACTGTTAAAAAGGTGAAAAATACTATTATGAAATCCCTCATATTTTTTCTGGAAAGATTTTCAGGAAATGGTTTGCCAGAATGGCTGGCCCAAAGTCATCTAGTTGGCCCTTTGTGCCTGAGCACTAGGAGTCAAGGTCTCCTAGTTTCCAGCCTAGTGGCTTAACCATCACAGCAAACTAGTTATCATATCTCTATACCTCCAATACACTAATATGCATGTCATACGCACCTGGCCTTTTTTATTTTTTGAATATGCTCTATTGTTGAACTGCTGCCATTTGACTTTCTGATCTTCTCGTTCCTGCTCTAGTTCTTTGATACGCTGGGCCTTTTTCAAAGCTTTCTTCTTTTTATATTCTCGTTGTTGAGCAATCATTTCTTTTCTAGAAAGTAAAATGTCACTGAAGATTACTTATGTAGTTCATAACCTAGTTACCTAGACTAATTTGTTATAAATTCACTTTTATTCTCAGAACATGTAGACAAAAGCAAGGATACACTGATTAAGAGAGTCTCACCTTGTACTAGGTGAATGTAAAGATAAACTCTCAGTACAATGGGCTTCAGCTGTCCTCGCCTATTTCATTCTCCAGCTGCTGAGTGCTGTCATTCCTTCTGTAAAGCAATCTGTGCACTGCAAGTTTCAATAAAGCACAGCAATCCCACTTTTATATACTACGAACAAAGCTCTTTTAGAAGTCAGCTGAAACTAGCTAGCTTGCTTCTTGCAAACGGAACTCTAGAATTAACTCAAAAGTTGTTCCAAGATAAAATTTTTCACAAATTTTGTATAGAAAATACTTAATGTTGATTGAGCATTACAGGATTAATTTTATTCATCAAATTCATATTAAAAAATTCAGTCATAGAGCAAACACAAGTATTACAGATAACAGTATAATATGTTATACTTCAATCTTTCCAAACCTGGAATAAATTCCATTATCCTCAGGCAGAATCAGATTACGGAAGGCTGACTTAAAACAGTCAACATAATCCTGTGGTGCTGCATAGTCACAGTACCAGTTCAGCACTAGGATTAATGAAGTCATTTTCAATAGACCAATGGACTTTCAGTTAGGTAGCAAATTTCATATCTTAAATATGTAATAGGAAATCAGCAACTGAGGAACTAGACTCCAAATTTCAGATGTCTTTATTGCTACAAAAATACCTTAAGTATTTTGGTATAAACAATGAGGTAGGTATAGATTTTGTCATAAATACAATGAAAACCTATAGAATGGCAGCCAAAAACCTCAGAAGGAATGAGACTGTCTCCTTTTGTCCTAAAACCAAAGTCTACTTTTTTTCGTCAGATCAATGGTAATTACTAGACATGTGAAATGAATACAATAAGTAATTCAAGGCTGAATGGACATTCATAAAAGACCCTGCTTAAGTCAGACCAAAGCAGAAGATGCCTGTCTAGATTTAGCAAAGATTTAATGCAAAATGTATACCCTTCCCCGATTAACAGAAAAAAAATCACGAATGGCTGAAACTTCTTTACATCTCTACAGAACGGCATGTGATTTGTTCACTATTACATATATTCACAGAAAAAAATGAAAACTAACACATTTTAGAGAAACATGTAGAAAAGTTATTATAGGTAGGTTCCTTAAATTCTGATTTATTTTATTTTAGAAAAATGATTCTAATAATAGCAACTATTTGATTAAATTCTATTTATGTTAGGGTATTTGATAAAAAAGAAATCTTTACCAAAGGAAGGCAGTGGCAGTGATGGTGGTGACAATAAGGCTTTTTTCTTCCCAATTCATAACCATATTCTTGACAAAGCCAGTGGATTCCTATCATTTCCATTTCACTCTCTCTCTCTCTCCCTTCCTTATATATTACAAAGACATGGAACCAATGCAGCCCTTTTTGCAGTTCTAGGAACAAATAATTCACAAACTTCCCTTTCACTTGAAGGCGATCCATGGGGATTCTTCTTTGCCTAATGCAGTCATAAATTCAGCCCAAATTATCCTGCTTAATTATTCAAGACTCAGCAGTATTCCACATATATAGCCTGAGCACATACATTGGTTTGGATTTTTTTTTTAAAAAAAATGTATCTTCAACAGAACATTCTTATCTATATGTAATCTCTGAATGAGAAAACCCATCAACAATTTTTCAATTACAGAACTTTTTTTTAGAGTGATACCACATATTAAACAATAGAAACAATTTCCATCACTTACTTGGACATAGGCTTGTTGCCATTATCTTCCTTTGTTTTTCTTCCCTCTTCCACAGGCTTCAAATTGAGTAGAGGCGTGACTTCAGCATTACCATATCCTGCAAACGTGACTGCAGCTGTACCATTCTCTTCATCTATCTCTTCAATTTCAGCTTCATAACACCTGTAAAGATATCATGGCTGTAAGCATGTGAGTAAAGGTTTAAGACTCAACCCTGCAAAACTTAAACATGCAATGATTACATTTCAATATATTTCTACTTAACAGTGGGTTGGGATTGATAATGAAATTCTGAGATTATTTTATGGCATTCATTTACATTTACTTTCTCAGCATGAGTAACTTATGTTGATCTATAGCCACTAACTTAAAAGTAAACTCTATTGAATTAAATAAGATTTACTTCTGAGCAGATATGTATATGATTGCACTGTTAAACTCTAAATTAACAACTGACCCAATGACATAGCTTCTTAAAAATAAACAAAGAATGACCAATATTCAAAGAGCATATTTAAGAAAATATGAAAAATATTGTAATCTATTAAAGTGGCAATAATATAGATTACAAAGGTGATTATCCAGTTTTTTTAAGTCACATCACTTAAGACTCAAAATAATCTAATATAATCATAAATTAAAATATGTATATATTCTATGAATGCACAATTCACCCTCTGAACTACATACTGATTCCCTAATTTATTTATATACTATATTATTTAATAAATAACTCAAGGTGGCAAATATTCCTTCCTCTTCACAATAGCTTTGTGACGTGAATTGAATTGAGTTAGTGACTGGTCCAAAATCACCTGGACAGTTATCATGCCTAAGACAGCCTCCTGGGTTTCTAGTCTGGTGCCCTAACCACTAGATTAAACTGGCTGTAATACCAATTTTGCTGCTCTCAGGAGTACATGAAGATTGTACAGTGTAATTGGTTTTAGTTAAGGTAGCAGAAATTCTCCTGGCCAAAATGGACTCTTTAGCTTCCAAAAATTCAGGTACTCACTTCAGCCCCAGAAAAATCTTGGTTGCTCCCAAATCAAGTCATTCTCCTCTTTTGAATTTCACAAAGCTAAAGGCACCAATTTTTCTCTACTATTCCACTAAGCCACCCCAAAAAGGTCTAAACAATTTAGTTCAACACACTACGGTGACACTTGACATTCCACTCTCTGCAGCTTTTGGAAACTGCAAATGCTGTTTATGATTCAGTGGCCATAAGGAAACTCAACAATGAAACTGTGCTTAGCATCAAGTATCTAAGTAACAAAAATGGAAACCAACATATAATAGAATTTTTATTGAAAGAAAAAAAATTGCTTTGGATAGCAAGATGGGTAGCATATATATTTAATAAATAAAATGAATAAAACAACAATTTCCTTCAGATGGAATATTTCCATATGCTACTAAAAAGGCAGCTCATTAACATTAGGGTTAAGCTCAGGAATCAAAGCTTGTTTATTGCTACTCCTTCCTAAGGTGAGTCTATTACTGTGAAAAGAATACTCTCCAGCTGCAGTATTCCCTAATTATTTTGGAGGAAAGAAATACTGCTGTCAGAGATTGGGTTTGATTTTCAAGTATGTCTGCTCCCTACAATATAAGTAGCCCTCAACTTATGACCACAAATTGAGACCAGAATTTTCCTTGTTAAGCAAGGCAATTGTTAAATGAGTCACACCCAATTTTAAAACTTTTTGACAGTTAAGCAAATCGCTGTAGTTGTTAAGTGAATCATGTGATTGTTAAGCATGTTAAGCAAATTGGACTTCCGCCACTCACGTTGTTTGTTAGAGGAAAGGGTGCAGGTGGGGGGAATCACAGGATCTCGAGATGCTGCAACTCTTGCATGATTCTGAGTTACTGCAAGTGTGATATGTTGGCTGCCATGCACCCAAAGTTTGATCGTGTCTCTATGGGATGCTATATCAGTTGTAAGGATGAGAATGGATTGTAAGTCACTGTTTTCAGTGCCATTGTAATTTTGAATGGTCATAAATGAATGATTGTAAGTCTAGGACTACCTGTATCAGTTTTGGGAGTCGCAGAAGGACTGAGCCCTTATTAATGGCTCCAAAGCAACAACGGCAGAAGACATGTACCTACTTTTCCACCAAGTAACAGTCTTCTATATGATTGTAACAGTAACCAAAGTAATCTGCCATTTCTGAGTCCAATCCTATCACTTTTTAAAAATATGTTTGTTATAAAGAAAGAAAGATTGTATGGACAGATTCTTCTTTTGCTTCTTCCCTTCTGATATGTATTATTCTTTGGTCAGGGCTCCATTTTTTTCTCCAAATAATATTCTTAGCATTTTCCTTTCAATTACTGAGGAAAAGCATTATCATTCCATTTTGATTATTGTATTCCAAATTTTAAAAGTTATTAGGGATCGTACTAATAGAGACTATAGACTAAGCAAAATTGGAATTTACCAATACTATATATTCCCAAACAACGTATTTGTTTAAGATATATATTTATACCTGCACTCCCTTTAACTAGCCACCCTCATCTTGGTACTCTCCATACTTTGGTGATTATGCTAGTTGGCTGATGACAAAATATAATTTAAAAGATACCAGGACTGACTACCGTAGGTTACAATTTTTTTTTTTGCCAAGGTGGTATTTACCATGATGGTGATGGAGAGAATATAAACCAAAGGGAAATATCTTACCATGAAATTGTATTAATTCATGTAACTGTACAGAAGTTTGTTTTCTACACTTACTGTCCATCTTCACTCCAAATTGCCATACATCTGTCTCCAACTTTCCAAGTGTGACTGGGGAGGGCAGACGCAGAACTATCAGAATTTGCAAGAGTTTCTGAAGGTTGTGTTGAAAGGAGGTCTTTAGTTAATTCTATAACTTCCTGGTGGGAGAAAAAAAAGGAAGAATTTAAACATTCTGTCTCCCCATCCCCACAACTTTTGAAAAGTATTTACCAACTGCAGCATATACAGTAACAGACGGAAAAGCACATGAAAACTTTATGTATAGTACAATATTTCAAAGTCAGTCCCTAAAAGGTGCTCCGAAGTCAATGAGATGGCAAATCTAGCACTTCTCTGCAGCCTTAAAAGTGGCTGCATCTCTTCACTAGGGAAGTACGGTCGACCTGCCAACTGCTGCATGACTCCCTTAACAACTACCTTTCCTAATCCTAGGAAAAGACTTGCTTATTTTAATGAAATGCACTCATTTCTCTGCAGACTTTTAAGTAACTATAGAATTTAATCTGAAATATCACATAGACTAGCCTTTTCTGAATATCTATTTTCTTAGTAAATATTTATATTCATATCATATATGAACAATTACATATAATATTTCATTCTGTATTCATATCATTATAGTTCAGCTAACATAATAGAAGCAGAAAGAATTACTGTGGCATAAAAATATTCTGGGTTGATTTTTTACATTTTTTATTAAAAATAATTACTGGCACAAAACATGTATGTATTCTAGGAAGTCACAAAGTACAATTTTAATATATGCAAAGAATACATCAATAAAATAGGTAAAAGAACTGGAATTTCCGGATTTTGTGCTAAAGCAGGGATAACCAAACTTTTAAATGCAAGATTTTGAAAACATCTGTAAATTTTCAAATGAACACAATCTCTACAAGATGAATTATGATACCAACCATGTTATCCACAGTATTTTGGACTGTATAACTCTGTATAAATCAACTTTTAGTAAACCACAACAATAAAAAATGGAAACTTCAAAACATAGGAGCTGCCTAAATTAGTACACCACTATTACGTTAAATATATGTAAGGGTTTATAATTCACATAACAAAAGTTTTAAAACATAGTTTAAATAGAACATCTATAAAAATCTATTGTACCTGCATTTTTATCATATTATCATAATCTACTGAAGGTACATAACATAACCTTTTTACAACTAGTGGAGTCCAGCTGTATTGGGGCTACCTATCTACACCAGTGTTTCTTAAAGTATGGGTTGCAACGCAGAGGCTGTGAATGGCCTACTGCAGTTGGTTTTTTTTTTTTTAAAAAAAAGAAGGAATGACCAGCCTGAAAACCCAAGGCTTCTGTGCAAAACTTGGATCTATTACAGGAGTGGGGGAGGTATTTACAAGAATCAATCTAAAGGAAAATGTTAAGGTTGGACTTATCTCACTGTCACTGGGTTGGGAGAGAATATACAACAAAATGTATAACTTATTTTCAGTTTCTGAAAATTGAAACATTAATAAAAGCACTGTAACAGAACTGATTTAAGACAATAAAAAACTCTTTCTTCCGTTTCCAATTTTTTGAGTTAGACTGTCTGCCTTCAAAAGGAAACCCAACTTTTACCAATTATGAAAAAAACAAGTCATCTTTCTCATCAAAAATAAGGTTTTAAATTTTATTGGGTCCTTCTGCTTATTTCCAATGCAATGGTTTCACTTGAAGTTGTTTTATTTGATGTATGGGTTAAACTGTAATGATTAAAAGTGGCATATTTTGCCAAGCCTTAACTCCAATGAAATTATTAGTTTTATTTCAGCAGGGTCATAGAGATTCCCGTTATTATTTTAGAGAGTGAAGAATATCACAGGATTTGTGTACCTTTTTCCTAGAAGATAACAATTTGGGGAAAGCTATAGTGCATGAAAAAAATTAAAAGTCAAATAGCCATTTCTTGAAATATTGACCAAATCTTACCCAATAAAAAAATAGATTGTGATGCAAAAATGGATACAAGCAGAAAAAATACACACTTCAGAGAAAAATATCTAAATAATTTTGTCTTCACTATTAGTCATCTTTTAAAAAATTTTCTCTATTACGACTATCACCCTGTTGTGTTTTTATGCACGCTGAAATTGAGCTTTAATTAATTCAAATGTTAGTCACTCCTTTGAATTACAAGCTACAGAGCATTTTTTTAAAAAAATTGTAAAAAACTCACAAAACTTATGTGGTTTCAGAATCCTACCATTTGAATATATTTCCCTCAGTGAACATATCACACATTAAACAGTCCCTGCTTAACTGATTCCTATAGGATAGTATAACTGAGGATATTTTAACACTCAAGATGTTATGGAAAATGACTCGTTAAAAATAGATCAGAAAGATGGCAAAATGTATTTTCAATATGCTCTTACACAGAAGAAAATTACTTTAGAATGATACCTTATATAATGTATATATACTAAACCAAACTTCAGAATATTTTTATTTATAACCATACTTATGCAACTACAGACTGATGCCTTTAAGCAGATGATAGCCCTAGTTCTTCTGAAGCTAATTTAATCCTCAGGAAAAAATTTATTAATATTTACATAATGATTAATTTACTACTTTATACTTAATTAAGCCTTAATCTTATTTTATAGCTCATTCTGATTAAGATATTATTATAACGAACATAAGAAGTTCCTGTTAGTTTGGACCCCTGGACCATCTAGTCCAGCAGTTTGTTCTCATAGTGGCTAACCAACTTCACAAAGACTCCATAGTCTCCTAGCAGATGGTCTTCAGAAGCAGTCAAACACAATTCTGCAGAACTCTTCACTATATAGGAAACATTCAATTAGCAAATTTATTTCTTCTCAGTTCTCACCTGCAAATCTTTCTTGAGTTTTAATAAATCTTCATTATCTCCATTTCCTGTCAAAGCAGCTTCAACTTGCTGTAACTGAGCTTTATAACTAGCTAATTGTTTTGCCAGGTCTTCTGACATCTACAAAAAGAAAAAGAAGCTATAATATAAACCAAATCAATTGTACGTACAATTTAATGGCCAGATTATTCATTTATTAAGAATTTTATTTCAAGCCTCTTGTTCTTCTGTATTTCAGATTGTAAGATAAAATGAAATGTAGATTATCAGGCTGAATACTATAAATCTTCATAGATAGCAAGATGCAAACATGACCCAAGTAATCCTGAAAGAGTAATTTAAATTAATATTATTGTATGGTTATTTATACATTATCTCAGTATGTTGATATCTGAACTACAACTGGACATGATTAAAACATTTTTTTTCTTTTTGGTCTTAAATATACATTTATTTTAGTCTAATCTCAATCTCCATTTTCAAAAATAATCTTTGAAAAGACTGTTAATACTTTTCTAGTCATAAAAATAAACTTAACATTTTGGGCATATTCTTTGTATTACTTCATCAAGCTATATTAAAAGCAAACCAAACAACTTTAGACATTTTAAGCAACAATATAAAATATCCGTAAAGTTAAGGGGCAACAACAGAAACTGGATAACCAATTAAAGCAATAAAATATAATTGTCCTGAGTAGCTTCTTAAAGTTCAAGAAGACCTATACCTAGTGGATCTTACACTGTACTTTCAAAAATATGTTTCATGTAAACCAACAGAGAAAATATAAAAAAAATATGATCACAAGCAGGAGAAATGAAAACTGCCACACTAAAATTATTTTGAAAAACTACCCAGCAGTCGTATTATCTCACAGCTGAAGTTTATAAAGGCAGTCCCATATAAATTGCATTAATAAAAATATAAGGCCTCTTTATAATCTTTACTATCAATGTTTTGGTTTATGATCTGTTAATGTTATATCAAATTTTTAAAAGGTGCAGAATTGTCATTGTTAATATATGACTTGCCCATCTTTCATTTAAACCAAATCAATATAGGCCAATATTAAAAATCCTAATAGAAATAAAATAGTTCTATTAGCACTATATTGATGCTCAAAAGTTTGATATACAAACTTTTCTTTAAAAAAATAAATAACATTTAATAGAAAAAATATAGGTAAAGCAGACATTTGTTTCAGGAGGTATTATAAAAATCCATCTGTAGATTAATTAGACTTAAGTTTCATATAAGGAGTTAGATTTGACAATTTAGTATGCTACAAGAGATTAACTCTTTTAATTCTGGTAATAACCACAAAAACAAAACCTATCTTTCTGCTACCAATTTGTAGGTCTGTAAAAAGCCTTTTACATACACAAAACATATCCTGCCTAGAAATCAAAACAGTGCTGCTTGATAGGTTACTATCTGTATTATTAATAGAAACTTGCACAAAGGGGAACAATGAAGTAGAATATTGAGCAGGATGTACTTTCAATAACACAAGTTACAACATAATATTCTCCAAATGTTTTACACTACACTTATCAGAATTCCCCAGAAATATGGCCAGATTTCCCAGAAATATGAAGTTAAGTGCTATTAAAGATTTACATAGAAATAAAAATAATTTGAAGTAATGGTAAGAAAACAAAAAAATGTGTGAAAAGTAGGTTAAGTAAAGAAAAAAGGAAATATATATAAATAAGTAACTTCCAATATTCTTTGCAGCAGTTATTAACATTTTATTTTTCCTACCTCTATAAGGTTACATCGTACTTCCTTTTTTTCCATATTCAACCCTTTGAAATCAGGAAATCACCATTTTGAACAAAAAGTCCAAAAGAATTTATTGTCTCACCTCTGATCAAACAGATCAATTTTGCCATTTCTGTTAATTCCATTACCTTGACAATCCATTTCTCCACTCTAGGTAATTTCAGTATTTTTCCAACTTTGAGCATAATCTTGCTGAAGTTACCAGGTTAAAAAAAAAAGTTTCCCATAAGTCTTTTCTAATTGGCTATCCATAAAGTTCTGGTTTCATTTGAATGTTAATCTTTAATATTCCTTGCATGGTTATTTGTATTTGTATCCAATATTTTTGCTGTTTTACAACTCCACTGTACATAGTAAAATGACATGTTTTTGTTAGTTGAAAATACCTTTATCTATATAATTTTTCTAGGGTCATAATGATAGGTTTTATAGCAGTTATAATTCAAAACCTTTGGAGAAATAAAGCTACCTATCCCAAGTTTAGATAGACACTGGATTGTTTGCTTTCGTTATTAAAAATAGTGAATAGTAATTTGTCAAAGATAAAGTAAGATATTCTAAATATACAATACTGGAGCTTTTTAATTTCCCCACTCTTCCCATGTTAAATTTCTAGCAAGTATTTCAGATGGAGGAAACTCTTGCATTTTGTGCAATCCACAGAAACCTTACTTCCCAAGCCTAGATGTGGGGAACCTTTGTCTTCTTGATGTTTCTGACAAGATAAAAAAGTTGGCATTCCTTCTCTAGGAATATTTCGTTTTCAAGAAAATCTTCTACTAGCATGTAGGTAATAGATGAGATTGAGACACCTGTTTTGAAAAATACTGCCCACTTTGAAAACAATAAAACCCAGTAGCAATTCAAATTCATCAATCTTTTATAAGATAACACAAAAATGTCACAATCCCTTCTTGCAACCCGGAAACACCTTCTGACACGAATGTAGTAGTAGTCCTTATGACAAACAAGGATCAAATACAGAAATAATTAGAAATAGAAAATCAATAAAAACCAAGCTGAAATATTATTTACTGATAAAGAGAGAGCACAATTAATCGTATCAGCATCTAAAGTGCTATTACACAAAGTGTAATAGTAATCATTTAAAAGGATACACCTGTGGGGGGAAAACTATACAATTATTATTTACATGAATTTGGCCTGATAGCAAGCCTACCTGTTATTTTCTGAAACACATCAACCTGCCCTTATCTGCTAGATTACTGCTACTTTTTTCTGGGAAGAGGCCAAAAAAATAATGCACCAGTTCTAAACTTTAATCTTATTCCATAGAAAACAAACGTGACACCCCACCCCTTGTGTATTAAAGGCCCTTCATTATTTCTCTAGTACAGCCAGTTACAAATTTCTGTAACAAAGCAGAAAACCAGGAGCTGTGATAACAAAGACTTCACCGAGAACAGAGTGTAAGAAAGAAGAAAAACAAGCGCAAGGGGGGAAACCAAAAGCATCTTTCAGAGAATTAAGGAAGCCGCGGAGGAACTGCTAATATGGGGAAAGGGATTAAGGACAGAGAAAAGACATCTATTTTCCATCAACCTAAAAACCAAGCCAGGGCCCGAAGCTTCTGACCCTGGATATTATTACTCCTGGGCTAAACTGAGGGCTAGCCGTCACGGAACGGAGACCAACGGGTAGGCCTAGGCAGAAGAGAGAATGCGCCAAGCCCCGAAGAAGCATACGGGGAGAAGGGAAGGCCTGCAAACTGGGGAAGAACAAAGACGGCTCCCGCTCTCAGAGAGAAGAACCGGAGCCAGTCCTTCCCTCACCCCGCTCCCTTTGCGCCAAAACTGGCGAAGCAGAGCGAGAAAAGAGCAGGCCTCTCACCTTGGTTTCGCACACAGAGGGCTTCTCTCACTCCCGGAAGGCCTCACGAAAACTGCGCGCGCTGTCTTCCTGCGGCTCCTAGCGACCACGCATACAAACCGGAGGACGGAAGCGAACGCTCGCGAGAGCAGCGGGCGAAGAAACCGGCGTTCAACGGAACTTGAGTCACCTGACTCGGCGGAAGTGCAAAAGGGCTCCTCTTCCGCCCCGTCACAATGTATTGCGGGGATTCAGTCGCCGTTTGTTGAATCTTTCATGTGAGGGTGGCGAGCGCACAAAGAAGCAACTAGCGCAGGGGTAGGCAATCTTGGCTCTTTGATGACTCGTGGACTTCAACTCCCAGAAGGCTCAGGAATTCTGGGAGTTGAAGTCCACGAGTCATAAAAGAGCCAAGGTTGCCTACTCCCGATTACTAGCGCGATGTGCAAAATAAAAGCACGCCGGCATCTATTCTTTGCAGTATTTTTAGATACATTCTAAAAATTGATAAAAATAAATAGAAAAGTAATGGGAGGCAAAAGGAGAGACAGGATCATTCATTTACAATGCCTTGGTAAGGCCACACTTGGACTACTGCATTCAGTTTTGGTCACCACGATGTAAAAAAAGATGCTGAGACTCTAGAAAGTGTACAGAGAAGAGCAACAAAGATGATTGGGGGGGCTGGTGGCTAAAACATAAGGAACGGTTGCTGGACTTGGGTATGTCTAGTGAAGAGAAGGACGAGGGGGGACATGATAGTGTTCCAATATCTCAGGGGCTGCCACAAAGAAGAGGAGTCAAGCTATTCTCCAAAGCACCTGAAGGCAGAACAAGAAGCAACGGATGGAAACTAATTAAGGAGAGAAGCAGCCTAGAACTAAGGAGAAACTTCCTGACATAACAATTAGCCAATGGAAAAACCTGCCTCCAGAAGTGGTGAATGCTCCAACACTGGAAGTTTTCAAAAAGAGATTGGACAGCCATTTGTCTGAAATGGTATAGGGTTCCTGCCTGAGCAGGGGGTTGGACTCAATGACCTCCAAGGTCCCTTCCAACTTTATTATTATTATTATTATTATTATTATTATTATTATTATTATTATTATTATTATTATTATTATTATTATTATTATTATTTTTCTGTTGATATGTCACATTTGCGTCCAGTCGGACTATAAATTTAATAAATTATTATCTGGCGTTGATGTGCTGCAAGCTTTGTTGGTTGAATTAAATTGCTGCGAAATTTAATATTGTCAAAGATCAGTCTACCATTGAAAAAAACAAAGGGTATTTTAATGTTATTCTAAATATATTGCATTGATTTGAAATACAGAAGGATTAATACATGAAACAAGAAAAATAGCTTGTAGTAGATTGGATGATCTTCCAGGGTGGATTGTTGTAAGGGGACACCAGCTTCTTCTAGAGCTACCATCCATCTTCCACAGGATGCCTTCTCTGGCATCGTCTCCTAACCCAACTGTGTGACAGAAGTAGGCTCTCACACTCTGTACTGCTTTTATTGTAATAAAAAGTCAAAGCTGAAAGGGAAATACCTATTATAGTATTACTTCCTGGTCATTTGATACAGACGCAGATGACTGAGGAAATCAACTTCCTTCTCTGGAGATACACAAAATCAAACTTAATTTTAAATAAAGGAAGTTAAAAGTATAAAAATAAATGTTTAACTTGAACTATTGAAGTGAAAATATTCAGTGCTGATGAATAGGAATTATAGAGCTGTTTAAGGTGAATAGCAATTTTATTAAAGAAGAAAAATGCAACAAGGCAAAGTAGTACTCAAAGTAGATCATAGAAGGTCTTGTCTATTCTAGGTAGAATTTCTCCGTCTCCATCTGTAAAAAGGTAAGAATTTCTTATTATTATTACTCTCACCATCATCACAAGAAATTAACAAGAACATATGCCAACATTTGTAGGGGTGACATGCACACGCAGCAAACTGCCGTGTTTTGCACCCCGACAAACCTCATAATTCTATAACCTTTTGATACTCTTTGTTCCAGTGAAGCAGCCAAAAGGTCATCCCCTTTTGACTTAATGCCTCACCTAACAAAACAGATAATATGCTTAACTTCCTTCCTATCTTTTCCTGTCTTTGTTAGTTCCTTCTTCTTTGATCTTCCTGTGTTTGTTCTTTACCTAGTCTTTGACCATATAATATGTTACTAGAAAATAGTTGGAATTTTCCAATGAAGAAACCTTTGTCAGCATCTAATGGTTAAGCTTGTGTATGTAAAAAGAATGTAAAAAGCAATAAACACAGAGAGGTTGTCAAGCTGTGGAAAGCTGTGTCAAGCAGCTCAGCAGCAGCTTCAAACCTCTGCTCAAGACATGCCTGTGACTGTTTTCTAGCGTCTTACATCTGGCGCCCTGAACAGGGACACCCCCTCCCGAGGGAAGCAACAACCAACATACTTGCAGTCATCTGGAATAGACCCCTTGGTGCACCTTCTCGTCCTCCGGGATTTCTCAAACTGTAAGTATGGGTTGTGCTCTATCTCACCATCAGCAAAAGCATGTAAGAGAGTTAAGGTTTCTCTTACACAAGTCAGGCATGACGATGCCTGATAAGGAGATTAGGAAGGTAGTGAGTGAGATAGGGAAAAACTGTCCTTGGTATCCTGAAAGGGGGACGCTCCGCTTAAGGATTGGGAAAGAATAGGCAACACCTTTCATCAAGAGCCCTGAGCCTCAGTTGATGTTTTGCATTGTTGGCATCAATGTCGCCATGCAGTGGAAAAATATGGGGCTGATGCAGTACAATTAAGTTCTACTCCCTCTCCAGATTCTGATCATGAAAAGGTTTCAGTTCCATCAGCTCCTATATCTTCCACGATGGATGTGACACCTTCAGAGCAAAAGAATTCTAGATCTTATGTTTCCATTCGCCATGTATTAGAAGATCAAATGGCAAAAGGGGAGGGAGATATGCAAGAAATAGCAGATATGCTCTCAGTTTGCCCTGTACATTTGACTGGACAGGTAGCTCCAAATGGAGCCCCAGTGATTGAATATTGACCACTTTCCTATGCAATCTTAACAGAATTGCGTAAGGGTATAAGAGATACTGGGCTAGGAAGCACTTATGTACAAGGTATGTTAGAAGCAACAATGAGGAATCATGTTTTGGTACCAGAAGATTGGAAAACAACAATTTGTATGTTATTAACGCTAGCTCAGTATGTGGTATGGGATATTGAGTTTAGACATCAGTGTACATTAAGAGCTGCAACTTCTGGAGGTGCTTACCTCCCAGAGCAGTTATATAGCTCTGGTGCTTACACTCCAGTGAATGCACAAATTGTTTTGCCTACAGCTACTCTTCAAATATCCTCTGAATGTGCTTACAAAGCTTTTGGAAAAGTTCCTGTAGCTGAGAAACCATCTCAAGCATTTTCAAATATTCGTCAACAGGCAAATGAACCATATGCAGATTTTATTAATCGTCTGCAAGATGCCTTGAGATGACAAATTGATAATCCTGATGCTCAAGCTGAATTGCTCATGAAATTGACTAAAGAAAATGCCACCACTGAATGTAAACGGGCCATCATTGGATTGGGAGCTCAACCAGATATGGCAGAAATGATTAAAGCATGTCAGGATATAGGAATTTCTTCTTTTCAAACTAATCTCTTAGCTGCAGCTCTTATAAAAGTTCAGAAACCTCAGGGGAAATGTTATAATTGTGGTAAAATTGGACACTTTAAACAGGAATGCAGAATTCCTGGGGGAGGAATGTCTGCCTCCTGACCATTTAAAAATATTGCTGGGAGGGCGTCCAAAAACAAAATGCCCCAAGTGTAATAAGGGATTTCATTGGGCTAATGAATGCCAGTCGGGAAAATTCAAAGCGGGCCGGTTTCTGGCCCCAGTCCAAACAGAGACCCCCTCAGTAATTCAATCAATAATAATACCTCTGCTGCCACTAGAGGGAGTGCTGGGATAGATTTATATTATCCAACAAGAAGTGTGTTTCAAATTTCCAGGAGAAGTAAAAGTAGTCCCATCACAACATTCTGGACCTCTCCCTTCTGGATATGCAACCCCCACCACAACGATCTGAACTTGTGGCTGCTATTCTTGTTTTTCACACTTTTGCTCAAAAACCATTTAATCTCATTTCCGACTCTCTACCTGTCTTATACCTGTGTGTGTCCCAGCGTCAGTTTTAAAAAATTATACTGGTTTAAGCAATTTTCTATCAGACAATGAATTTCATTATGCAACTACGTCAAACTGGGGTCCTGCCTTTTATATGTTATCCCTTGATGCTATTGTTTTGCACCCACCAATTGTAGCTGTGCCTACAAATCTTACTTGTGCAAAAATTGTCAATTGTGCTACTTCACCTAAAAAATCTCATTGTATACATGTCAGTCAAGGAATTTTAAGTTGTACCTCCTTTCAAGAGGTATCCTTTAATTATGCACATATATGGTTACAAAAGGAATGGTTCTTTACCTGCAGGAAAGAGACATTTAATTACATTCCTGCCAATGTAAGTACGACACACTGTTGCCTTAGTAGACTCACTACGTTTTTGCCAACAAGAACAGAACTCAACATATCCAGTTCAAAACGTCATAGAAGATCAGTAGCCCTGGATGATACTTGTGATTCTTCTAGAACCCTCCTCAATGAAGCAGAGTATACTGCCTTAGCCATTTCATTAGTAGGGGTACCAGCACTTGCTGTTAGAGCTCATGTAAATTTAAATGCTCTTGCATGTAATTTAGCAAAAACCATAAATGTGACCTCCCTAGCTTTATCTGCCATTAATCAAGAGCTAATAGAACTTCGTAAAGCTATTTTACAAAATCATGCTGCAATTGATTATCTGTTGCTCTGGCAACATTTGGGATGTGAAGAGCTCAAAGGAATGTGTTGTTTCAATCTTTCTGATCAATCTGGCATTATTCAAAAGCAAATTAATGTTTTACATAACTTGGCTTCTGATTTAAAAATT